CTCATACACAGCACTCTCACACTCATCACACTCTGCACTCTCACACACATCATACACAGCACTCTCACACACATTATACACAGCACTCTCATACACAGCACTCTCACACACATCATACACAGCACTCTCATACTCTGCACTCTCACACACATCATGCACAGCACTCTCACACTCAGCACTCTCACACACATCATACACAGCACTCTCACACACATCATACACCGCACTCTCATACACACATCATACACAGCACTCTCACACTCAGCACTCTCACATGCATCATACACAGCACTCTCACACTCAGCACTCTCACACACATCATACACAGCACTCTCACACACAGCATTCTCACACACATCACACTCTGCACTCTCACACACATCATACACAGCACCCACACACACAGCACCCTCACACACAGCACCCTCACACAAATCAATCACACACAGCACCCACACCTCACACACAGGATCCATCACACACACATACTGCACTCCTCACATACACACACAACCCCCCGATACACTGCCTAACACACATACACAATACTTCCAAACATATTTATATAATATATATACACATATAAATATACACACAGCACCCCTCACACACACACACAGCACCCCTTACACACACACACACACACACACACACACACACAGCACCCCTAAACACATTTCATTCCAGACACACATTAGATCCTCTACCCAACTCTGGATCATCTACACACATACACACACTAGATCCCTATATACACTCTGAATCCATTATATACGCACGCTCACTAGATCTCCTATACATATTCTGGGTCCTTCAAACACACACACACTCTGGATCCCCTATACGCACACTAGATTCCTTGTAAGCAAACACATACTACATTCCCTGAACACACACTCTCTACAAACACTACATCACCTACACACACACACTATAGCCTGTATACACACACTTGCTACATCCCCTAAACACACATTCTCTAAAGCCCCTAGCCACATATGCATTACATTACACCACAAACACAACACGACTAAAACCGACCTTATTACACAATACCACACCACGACCAGCTCACTCTGCACACACGCAATACCCCAAGCAGGCTCCAAAACACATGCACAATACTCTTTCCTGACCCATTTGTCTCCTGGTATCCATTTATAGAGACACCAGAGACAAGTTGCAAGGAAACACAGTGCAAGCATGTTATTAAATTTGCTTGCACTGCGCAGAACAAATACAGGGCTTTTTTCTCATGCTAGAGCTCTTCAGCAGAACTCTGTGCATGGTCTGCCCTGGAAGAGCATTGAACCAACATGCTCACTTTGAGAGGGGGCGTGTTTGTCATGAGTGATGACAAAACACACCCTCTCTGCCCCGCCCCCTTCTTAGTGGGCCGCTGTGATAAAAAAATGCCCGGGCCGAATTTTTTTCCCAGTCCGGCCCTGCTCATCTCCCTCATGCACTCAGAGCAAATTATAAGAAGCCCTTAAGTCCAGTTTGGTCTATACTCATGCTGTTTGAGGACATTCATTAAGTTCTGGAATAAGTGGTAGGGGGTACTTATTCTTGATGGTGATGTGATTGAGACTCCTATAGTCCACACAGGGTCGCAGACTTCCATCCTTTTTCACAACAAAGAAAATCCCGGCTCCAGCGAGGGAAGTGGAGGGCCTGATGAATCCTTTTTTCAGATTTTCTTGTATATACTCCTTAAGGATTAGTAGTTCTTTTTCAGTATATACACAGGACAGTCATATTTTCTGTGGGGAGGTAAAGATTCTAGTCCCCGTTTATCAAATACATTTTGATATATATGGTAGGCCTCAGGGAGGATGACTTCTTGTCACTTTTCCAGGTTCTTCTCAAGCATGGAGTGTACGAAACCTTTCACTGTTGCATCTTCCAGACAGAGTTGAGAGCATCGTGGAAAAGAGAACGTCAAGCATCCTGTGGGCTATATAATCATAGGGTCATGTGTCTGTAACCAAGGGATCCCCAGGATGACGGAAAATAGAGGAGAGGGGGCAAGATCAAAGGGAAGATTCTCTGCGTGTTTTCCTATTTTTACTAGAATAGATTCGGTCTGTTTGTTGAGTGGACAGTGGTGTAAACACAACCCATGGGGCCCCACTGCGAAACTGATCCATGGGGCCCCCCCTCCCTCCCTCTTCCCTCCCTCTAACACCTCCCCCCCTACAGACACACATACACACACAGAGACACACACACACAGACAGATACATACAGACACATACATACACACACACATGACACATACATACCTCTAGCATGTAAGCTCATCGAGCAGGGCCCTCAACCCCTCTGTTCCTGTACGTCAGTGGTCTGATCTCAATTATGTGTCTGTTAGTCCACCCATTGTACAGCGCTACAGAATTTGTTGGCGCTATATAAATAATAAAATAATAATAATAATAATAATAAAGACACATACATACAAACAGACTGGCACACACACATACATATAGACAGACACACACATGACTCCTTCTGCTTCCTCCCGTGCAGGCTCTTAGTAATGGCTGGGAGGAGTGACGGGGAGTCACTTCCTCCCAGCATGTGATGATCTCATCACAGGGGTCCTGGTCGCGCTGTTAAAGCACCGCAATGGAGACCGGGCCCCCTGAAAATCCATACCCATCGGGTGGCCCTAACATGCGGCCCCGGCGGATTGCCGCTTGGGGCGGGCTGCAAATGATGATGGCGGGCACCCGGTCGCAGGGGTCTGCAGGGCAGCTGCAACCCCTGTGGCCACGTTATGTACGCCAGTGTGAGCAGACCAGAAGGCAAAAAGGACCCATCTACAAGCTGTATTTGCAATGGGGAGGCTTTATTTTGTACAGGTCTAGATAAGGAACATGCAAGAGTTAAGTCCAAAAAACAACCACTGGCCCCTGAATCAATGCTTGATATTCATAGTGCTTGTGATTTCCCTGCAAGGAAAGAGAGAAATATAAGGAAGGAGTCGTAGTGACCAGAGTAGAAGGCATAGAAACATGGTTGGTTTCTTACCCAATGAATTCTTTAGTTTCTGAGGGCAGTCATTCACAGTGTGGTTAGAGCACCCACAATAGGGACACAAATCCTCTCTCTTTCTTCTTTGCAATTCAGCGGGAAGTAGTTTTCCTTGAACTAGGCCAATTTGCATTGGTTCTTCTGTTGTTGCAATGGAGGCCGAGGTCGAAGGGGTATAACCAGAAGGGGTGGATCTGGAAGCAGATGTATAAGTCCCTGCTCTTTCTTGTCATTGTTCTCCTGGCGTTGATCTACAGGGAGTGCAGAATTATTAGGCAAGTTGTATTTTTGAGGATTAATTTTATTATTGAACAACAACCATGTTCTCAATGAACCCAAAAAACTAATTAATATCAAAGCTGAATATTTTTGGAAGTAGTTTTTAGTTTGTTTTTAGTTTTAGCTATGTTAGGGGGATATCTGTGTGTGCAGGTGACTATTACTGTGCATAATTATTAGGCAACTTAACAAAAAACAAATATATACCCATTTCAATTATTTATTATTACCAGTGAAACCAATATAACATCTCAACATTCACAAATATACATTTCTGACATTCAAAAACAAAACAAAAACAAATCAGTGACCAATATAGCCACCTTTCTTTGCAAGGACACTCAAAAGCCTGCCATCCATGGATTCTGTCAGTGCTTTGATCTGTTCACCATCAACATTGCGTGCAGCAGCAACCACAGCCTCCCAGACACTGTTCAGAGAGGTGTACTGTTTTCCCTCCTTGTAAATCTCACATTTGATGATGGACCACAGGTTCTCAATGGGGTTCAGATCAGGTGAACAAGGAGGCCATGTCATTAGATTTCCTTCTTTTATACCCTTTCTTGCCAGCCACGCTGTGGAGTACTTGGACGCGTGTGATGGAGCATTGTCCTGCATGAAAATCATGTTTTTCTTGAAGGATGCAGACTTCTTCCTGTACCACTGCTTGAAGAAGGTGTCTTCCAGGAACTGGCAGTAGGACTGGGAGTTGAGCTTGACTCCATCCTCAACCCGAAAAGGCCCACAAGCTCATCTTTGATGATACCAGCCCAAACCAGTACTCCACCTCCACCTTGCTGGCGTCTGAGTCGGACTGGAGCTCTCTGCCCTTACCAATCCAGCCACGGGCCCATCCATCTGGCCCATCAAGACTCACTCTCATTTCATCAGTCCATAAAACCTTAGAAAAATCAGTCTTGAGATATTTCTGGCCCAGTCTTGACGTTTCAGCTTGTGTGTCTTGTTCAGTGGTGGTCGTCTTTCAGCCTTTCTTACCTTGGCCATGTCTCTGAGTATTGCACACCTTGTGCTTTTGGGCACTCCAGTGATGTTGCAGCTCTGAAATATGGCCAAACTGGTGGTAAGTGGCATCGTGGCAGCTGCATGCTTGACTTTTCTCAGTTCATGGGCAGTTATTTTGCGCCTTGGTTTTTCCACACGCTTCTTGCGACCCTGTTGACTATTTTGAATGAAACGCTTGATTGTTCGATGATCACGCTTCAGAAGCTATGCAATTTTAAGAGTGCTGCATCCCTCTGCAAGATATCTCACTATTTTTGACTTTTCTGAGCCTGTCAAGTCCTTCTTTTGACCCATTTTGCCAAAGGAAAGGAAGTTGCCTAATAATTATGCACACCTGATATAGGGTGTTGATGTCATTAGACCACACCCCTTCTCATTACAGAGATGCACATCACCTAATATGCTTAATTGGTAGTAGGCTTTCAAGCCTATACAGCTTGGAGTAAGACAACATGCATAAAGAGGATGATGTGGTCAAAATACTCATTTGCCTAATAATTCTGCACTCCCTGTAGTTGGATCGCTTGTTGCATAAATTCATCTGGGGTATTTGGTATACCAAAGTGGGCGAAATCATTCTTTGGAAGTTCAGACAACCCGAAACGAAATTGGTTGAGGAGTCCGATTTTGTTCCAACATGTGTCATTGGCATATTGCTTAAATCATGTTATATACTCTTTAACTGGTCTGCGACCTTGGCATAATGCTCTGATGGCTGTTTGCGCAGTGTCTTGACGATTGGGATCATCGTACATAGCTGTCATAGCTTCATCAAAAGCAGTCCAAGTTTGGATACTTGGATCATCAATACACAGGAGATCATTAGCCCATTCTTGTGGGGGGCCAGAGAGAAGGGTAATAACAGTACGAATTTTAACAGCATCACAATAGTAAATCAAATAATAGATCACGAGCCATAATAAAAGTATGATACTTGTATCGATCTCCAGTGAAATGTTCAGGCAGTGATACCTGAGGTTCTGGAGCGATAGATTTGTCCTCTGGCAGGGGTACCAAATGAGCATCAGGAAATGTTTGTGGAGCTCTGGATACAGAGGTAGCGACTTAAGTCTGCAATTCTTGCATGGATTGATTGATTGATTGTAGACACTTGCCTGCGGGCTCCATATAGGCTCAGTTCTTCTGTTACGTATGTTACGTATTTGACGGGAGGAGTCCAGGAGGCAGGAATCAGCCAAGGTTTCAGCTGGGGCTTTCCCGTGGGGCGTGGCGAATAGCGGCATGTGGAGAAGCATTGATTCAATGCTTTGCTATGGGGAAGTTTGAATGTGTGCATGGCGCTCACTGTACATTACATTCACATTAATCCTCTATGTGGAGCCTTGGATAGGACATCGACGGAGGAGGACATACCATCCTCTGTGATGCCCTGGGAGGCGGAGAGGTGAGGAGTGCCGACCTATGAAAAAGGTAAGTAGTATTTTTTTTTATTTTAATACCCCCACCTAAATAAGAGTAGGGACAAATGCAATACAGTGTTAGGAATACAGATGTGTAATTTTAATGCTATAGTGTTCCCTTAAAATTTTCATCCTGGTGCGTGGTAGGTCTTCAGCATCTTCTCCCTTTTCAAACTTGAGGTAAAGCTCATTTTGTAATGACACTTCTACGTCCGTTTAAGGTACCAGCAAGATGTAATTCTGCTTCCTATTCTAGACATCTGTCAGAAGCAAAACATGAACATCCCCACACGATAAAACCGGAAATAACGCAAACTGCATATTGAGAGCGGGCAGACAACAGAGTCAAATGAAAAGCTGCTATATTGTATCTCCAGTTGCCATATGTCAACCGGTTACACATGGGAGAACATACAATAATCCATTCAAATAAAATAAATGTACTTATTCAAAATAGAGGATGTCATAAGTACCCATGTAATTAGTAAATCAGCAATTACATTTTTTTTAAATTTATGATCAAATACTATATAATAAGACATAAATAGGTAATTAAGAATCAAAACATAAGGGTACAAAACTAGGTCGCTAGAATAGTTTTAACGGAGGGCTTAGTGTTTTTTATTTTTACATCAATAACCAATACCTATAAAATACCTATAAAATCCAATAAAGACATTGATCTCAAAATCTACATTGAAACTATTAGGGGTAAGACATTTTAAATCAGACATCCATGTAATTTCCATTTTTCTCACACTGGTATAATGATCTCTCTTTCATTCTCAAATTTATACAGAGACTTGGTCTCCTCCAGTTACCATGGTAACTTATTTTTCTTTCAAATTGACATGCATTCACACCAGGATAACATAGCCTTTGCATTGGCATGCCCTCCATTATTTCATTACAGTCCCGGTCACTACCTTGGGCTGCCCTGCTGTCCCAAGTTATTTCCATATGGGACAAATCTGAGTGATTATCTTATCTTAGAGACCCCAGCATAGCGGAAATAACCATAAGGAAATCTAAGGCAGCTGCCAAGGTCCCAGGGATTAGACAAGGGTCCATTCACCATCCTTCTACTAAGAATAATAAAGATGTAAAACAGTCTTTTTCCACAATTACTTTCCAGTACCCAAGATACATGCTTAAATACTGTATAATAACAAATATAGATAATTTAGAATCAAAACTTGAGGGGGGGGGGGGGATTTAAAAAAAGGCAAAAAGAAAAAGCCTTTTTATAGCGCCAACATATTCTGCAACATTTTACGATAATGCATTGTGGATATTAAACAGCAAGTATTGACATACAAAGTAGTAATAAAAGAGACGAGTTGAAGAGGGCCCTGCTCAAATGAGCTCACAATCTAAGCCGATAAAATCAAGTACAATATACATCAAAACCACTATGAGTATCGAATTCTAAATCACACATTTATACAATTTCCACAGGGATCCAATTTTATACAGGGATCCCTGTAAATGAATGATTTATACCTTCCATTCTCTAAATGTATAGTAAGCCCCTCCATCCGGCACAATGGTTATTTATTATTTTCCCAAACTGGCACATTCACGCCAGGATGACATACCCTCTTTTTGGACAGGTCCTTCCTCTCACTTAATTACAGCCCCATCTACTCCCTTTAGCCTGCCCTGCTGTCCCAAGTTGTAATCTCCTGAGGCGACACATCTCAGTGATGCTCTTAGTTTAGCGGTTCCACCTAAGACAGGTGCCTGGGTCCCATGGGTTAGACAAGGGCCCGTTCACCATACTTGTACTAAGAAGAATAAAGATGGGAAATAAACTGGTAGCCTTATTAGGTTTGTGTAGTATACAGTATCAGTCAAATCAGGCTTTAAGAAAAATACAAAGATGACTTCACCAACGATCAGCTGCTTCTGTAGGGGAAATGCCTGCCCTGAGCAGGAACCATGAGTGCACTATTGAAAATATACAGGTCTCATTTTAGCTGACATAAATTGCTATCCCCAAGTCCTTCACCAGCCAAGGTAGGGAGTATGGAGTGCATGCAAACACTGAATTTCCAGCACTGCATGAAGCCATCGAGTGCTAGCTCTTTGGTGACTCCCTGCACTACACACTGAATCTGCATTGATCTAGGTGCCTCAGGAGGGCAGGCCCACATTGGCCATAGGAAGCCTGCTACAAATGCAGGTGCTCCATGGAAGGTTAGTTGGGTAAGGACTAATTATGGAAGTTTCTAAGATGTCCAGCAAAGTGCTGGTCTGGGGGTCACTGCCAAACTTATCCCTGCCTGTAATAAGCAGGGAGACATTGAAGGATAACTATTAAAAAGTGCAGTGCTGGCAGCTCATTGCGCCTTCTCCTTCATGAAGGTCCTGCTCAGATCTGCCATCAGAAATTTTAGGGCCCCTGACGCAGCCCGAAGTCTGGGACATTGCAACCTTGTTGGAACAGGGTGGCCGTCCACCAACCATCCACTACTCCATCCATCTGGACCATCCAGGGTTGCACGGCACTCATCAGGGAACAGGACTGTATGAAAATTAGTCTTCATATATTTTTCTGCCCAATGCAGCCGTTTCTGCTTGTGAGCATTGGTTAGTGGTGGCCGAATAGAAGGTTAATGCACAGTTGCAAGACTCTGGAGGACTTTACACCTTGAGGTCCGTGGGTCTCCAGAGGCACCAGCAGCTTCAAATATCTGTTTGCTGCTATGTAATGGTATTTTAGCAGCTGCTCTCTTGATCCGATGCATGGATCTGGCAGAAATCTTCCTCAATGTGCCTTTATCTGTACAAACCCGTCTGTGCTCTGAATCAGCCACAAATCTCTTAATAGTGCAATGATCACGCTTAAGTTTTCATGAAATATCTAATGTTTTCATACCTCGTCCAAGGCATTGAACTATTTCACTCTTTTTGGCAGCAGAGAGATACTTTTTCTTCCCCATATTGCATGAAAATGGTGCTCTGCTTAATAATGTGGAACACCCTCCTTTAGTTGTTTTTCCTTAAATTGGGCTCACCTGGCAATCTAATTATCACAGGTGTCCGAGATTGTTTTCAGTGATCAAAAGAGCCCTGAGACACAATGCCATCCATGAGTTAAAATGAAAAACAAAATATTTAATCTTTGTGACACTTAAATAGAATTTGCATAATAATTTGGAAGAGGTGAATGAGTTCAGCAGCATAAAAAATTCAATAAACATACAAAAAAAAAACTAAACCTAAAAAATCCTCTCCTGTCCCATTATACTTTTTTAATACCTATAACATTCTAGCCCTTTTGGGTCTTGCCCATGTATTCTCTTAAAGTGCTCTGAAACACTGTGGCTCTCCGCCCCCTTTTTAATATTGTAGATATGTTCTCTTATTCTTATGTGGAGAGCACGTGTTGTTCTCCCCACATACTGTAGTTTACAAGGAACTTTAGTAGGTAGACCACATTATTACTGTGGCTGTATCCTTGTAAACTACAGTATGTGGGGAGAACGACACATCCTCTCCACATAAGAATAAGAGAACATATCTTTTTTATTCATTATTGCGCACCACCACTTCTTATGTATTATTTTGTCCAAGTTTCATTACCAGGATTTGTTTGTTGGTTGTTGCATTTATTAGATCTACTTTATTCTGCGCCACCCTATTTATATGTTTTTATACTACTTCTCATGGCGTGGCCGAGCACCAGCCTACAGTGCCGCAGACTGTCTGAAGGGGGTGGGAATATGAACACGTCATATCTCTGCTCCACAAGGTAGGAAACAGGAGGGTGGCTATAAAAGTATATATTTTGACCAGCATGTGTATGTGTGTGTCTGTGTGTGTGTGTCTGTCAGTGTGTTTGTGTGTGTATCTATATGTCTGTCAGTGTGTGTATGTCTGTCAGTGTGCCTGTGTGTGTATCTCTATATATATCAGTGTGTATGTGTGTGTGTGTATCTGTATGTCTGTCAGTCAGTGTGTATCTGTGTGTCTGTATGTCAGTGTGTGTATATATATATGTATGTATGTCAATGTGTGTTTATCTGTATGTCTGTCAGTGTTTGTGTGTATCTGTATATGTGTGTGTATCTGTGTGTCTGTCTATCTGAATGTATATCAGTTTGTGTATATTTGTGTATGTATATCATAGAGTGTGTTTGTGGCAGTGTATGTGTACATACAAACACACCCCTACATTCACACAAACATACTCCATACAAACACATGCTTACATTCAAACACACAAATACTGCTCAGTGCAAAATACAATCCTGCAAGCATTGGGGAATTGGTAGAGCCCCAGCTTTCAAAGCATTGTTGATGGGGATCTATCTTTTAGCCTCCCTGTGTACATACATACACAGACAGTCACACAGAGACATACAATGTGTATGTCTCTGTATGACTGTCTGTGTATGTATGTCTCTATATGCCTATCTCTGTTTCTTTATGTCTGTGTCTGTATTTATTTGTGTGCCAGTGTGACAGTGTACCTGTATGTGTAGATTGTATAACGGTGTTTGTTTGATTGTGTGCCTTTTATGACTGTGTGTCTTTGTGAATGTGAATAATAATAATTATGTCTATGTGCTTGTGTGGTTGTGTGCCTGTAGGTTTGTGTATTTGTGCATATATGTATTTTTGTCTGTATCTATGTCTACATGGGAGAAAGCGAGATAGATAGGGGCTGAGGGGAAGAAAGAGACACAAAGGGGCTGACGGGAAGTTAGAAATACATAAGAGGGCTTGTAAGAGACACACTAAAGGGGGGTGTAAGGCAAAAAGACATTCAAGGGAGTGGATATGAAACACTAATGGGGGTAAGAAATTCAAAAGGA